TATTTTTTATGCCATACGATCTACCCACACTACCTTTGCGATCGACCAGTAGATCGCGATCGACGTATTGGGCACCCCTGGTGTAGACCATGTATACGTCGGAGTGGAACATGAAAACAATACTGGAACAGGCCAGAAAATAAAAACGCATGTATCGATATTTATGAGGTCACATCGAAGCATCGGATCATTTGCCATTGAATTGATATATCGATACAAATCGATGTATTGTTACACCCCTAATATTTACCTTAATGTAAGCTGCACAGAAGTGGTCCTTATATTGTTTTAAAGCTATTGTCCAGCTCTATAGATGTATATCTATATCATATTTATAGATATGAGCAAATAATATGCCATCTCCATATGAATAATTACTATGTAATGACTGATTAAAATATTAAAAATTCAATAACAAAAAACCTATATTTCAAAATTGATCAAAGTTAAAACTTTGTTTGCCTAAATCTCCCGCAATATTGATCCCAGACACGCCCAATTTAAGTTTTATGAGTTACTCATGTGACCAAATCAGCAAGCCAAGTTTTGTTAATCTCCGTGACGACGAGGTCCGAAAGTGTGATGATTTGACATGGAATGACCCGATAGCATTAGGGCTGGCTTGGTCTAGGGAGTCTAGGCTAGCCATCTGGTGAATGGAGATGTATAGAGTGAAGAGATGTTCAAGGTTGAGTGGTTCCATACTGATATGAGCATTAGAAATATGATATTTTCTGATAATGACAGAAATACTGTGGGGACAACAACATAGGTAATTTACTGTAAGCATTGTCATAAGTACTAATGTTTGTATGTGATACTCACTGTATCAGCTGTTTGTACTTAGTGCAGAGGATTTTGTCAAACATTGAAATGTATTTTATACTATTTTGAGCACACCAATATTGGGTTAGTTGCAAGAATATTCAGTAGGATTTGTTTTAGAGATTGTCCTGAATTAAAACACGTAAGCTGTGGGTTGAAGGATTGTTGTCCTAGAATTTCCTCCTTACTGCAGGCTATTAAATGTGTATCTGTATCAGGTCCAATAAAACTCTTTGAGTTTTTGAGACTAAGGGGTTGGGGGTTATGTCCTAATGCAATGTAAGTCTGCTTTTTGGTGAATCATGTCAATGCTCCAACTGATTTTTTTCATAAAACATTTTTTCTAAGTAAGCAAAGACTGGGTGGTCTGTTACATTGCTATTCTGGCATTTTTTATTTCCTGTTTTCCCTGCAGACAGGAAAAGGTTTTTTTTTTTTTTTGGCTTTTTTGAACTCAAGAGTAGTTTCTTTGTGATTCACATACAGAAATTGACTATATGTAGTTGTATTGGGTCAAATCTCTAACTAATAGTTTTTCTGTCTTTTCCTCAGTGACCATCATGCAGGCCTCTTAACTTCGAAACCAGACAAGCTTCCATTCACCCTTGTCTGCAACCTTTGGCCATGACTGAAGAGGACTATGGGTGCTTTGTGGATTGGGACAAGATGGGAGAGCTGGCAAAGAGCAGCGGTCCCAGCAAGCTGGACTGCAAGGACCCACGGGAGCTGAAGAGCCTTGCTAGGCAGGGCCACTGGGCCAAGAATCACAAGCTGCGGGCCCAGATCTACCAGCAGCTTATAAAAGCCATCCCCTGCCGCACTGTCACTCCAGACGGGGAAGTATACCGTGACATAGTCGTCAACATCACCGGCAAGAAGGACCCCACCTGCATCCCCTTGCCCGAGTTTGTAGACAACACGCCAGTGCCCAAGTATTGCCTGAAAAAAGATGGATTTGGGGCAGCCCACAAGATCTTGGCGTGTGTAGCTAGCCAGTTCCCAGACATCTCTCACTGTCCCATGCTGCCAGCCATGACCTCCCTGCTTCTGCACTTCAGCGCCGACGAGGCGCAGTGCTTTGAAGCAGTAAGCCGCCTGCTGGCCTGCAATGAGCCTGGGCGCCGCATGCTGGACCAGACCTTCCTGGCCTTCGAGTCCTCATGCATGACCTTTGGTGACCTGGCTCAAAAGTATTGCCCAAGCGCTCACAAGCTGATAGTGGCCACTGCCCAGGATGTGTTGGAGGTGTACTCTGACTGGCTGTGTTGGGTTCTTGGTGACCTCCCCTTCTCCCATGTAGTCAGGGTGCTTGATGTCTTCCTTGTAGAAGGCTACAAGGTCCTATATCGTGTGGCTCTGGCCATTCTTAAGTTCTATCGCAAACACAAGGCTGGTCAGGCTCAGCTTGGAAGCCAAGATTCTGCTGGCGTCAGGTCGGACATACGGGCCTTTGTTCGGGGCATCGGCTCTTCTGTCTCCCCTGAAAAACTTCTAGAAAAGGCCTTCTCCATCCGTCTCTTTACCCGAAAGGAGATATCATTACTGCAGCTCGCCAATGAGAAGTCCCTGCAGCAGAAGGGCATCACCGTCAAACAGAGGAGGTACCGAGCTTCTAGCACTTTTTTGGTGCCATGGTGCCGGCCTGGCTGTCTCCGTCATGTTTCTCTGGCAGGTGGGGCTCAGGCACTGTGACCTGCACTGTTCCCCTGCCTTTTTCTTTAGTAACCTTGCTTCTTTTAAATCACAGCTTTTAAATCTTCTTCTTTGTCTCTCGCACCTTCATTCTCTCTTCCAATGCTCATGCCTTCCTGGCTTACATTTGGCCCTCATAGGAGGTAGGTCTCAGACTTTTTTTTGTGTTGTGTGAATGTTTTATAGTTAACCTGTCAACACACAAAGGTCATTTTGGAAACCTTTGGACACTAATAAAAAGAAATTGCCAGTTAATTTGTAAACCCTGTTTGCATATGTTTTAAAGCTTCTCTTAGGAATCCTTGGCAAACTTTCTCACAGTTTGTCCCCCATGTATTCATTTTTCCCCTTGTCCCCACTTTTATTCCTTTTCCCCCTGTTTGTTGGCCCCAGGCGGAATGTACATCTGGCAGTGGACGCAGAGAACTTCTCCTCAGATATTGTCAGCACCAAGGAGATGCGAGACATCTGGTCCTGGATCCCAGAGCGCTTTGCCCTATGCCAGCCCAAGCTGCTATTCACCACCTCCAAACATGGCTGCAGCCTCAACAGGTACTGACCTGAGATCAGTGGCAGTGGCTACATGATTGATTGAACAGTTATCCTGGTTCTGCAGTGTCTCTTGAAATCATGTGTCCTGTTGATGATTTTATTATATGGTCAGTTCTTGAGGAAAGCTAGGATTTACCCCCACACTCACCCATATTGGGATTGCATGGAACTTTATAGTATAAAGTGGACTTCATAGTTAGCAATAAGAACATAAGAACTATACAAACGAGAGGAGGCCATTCGGCCCATCGAGCTCGCTTGGGGAGAACTTAACTAATAGCTCAGAGTTGTTAAAATCTTATCTAGCTCTGATTTAAAGGAACCCAAGGATTCAGCTTGCACTACATTATCAGGAAGACTATTCCATACTCTGACTACACGCTGTGTAAAGAAGTGCTTCCTTAAATCCAGTTTGAAATGTTCTCCCGCTAATTTCCACCTATGGCCACGAGTTCTTGTATTTGAACTAATGCTGAAGTAACTATTCGGTTGAACAGCATCCAAACCTGTTAGAATCTTATAGACCTGGATCATGTCCCCCCTCAGTCTCCTTTGCTTGAGGCTGAACAGATTTAGCTCAAATAACCTTTCCTCGTATGACATTCCTCTAAGACCAGGAATCATTCTTGTGGCCCTACGCTGCACCTTTTCTAAGGCCGCTATGTCCTTTTTAAGATATGGTGACCAAACTTGTACACAATATTCTAGGTGAGGTCTCACCAAGGAATTGTACAATCTTAGCATTACCTCCCTTGAAGATGGGAAATGACAAATAACAAAGATGCCATCATAAGAGCAGTGGATTTGAGGAAAAAAATCTAGACTGTTGCAAACAAATGAAAAACAATAATGTCTATGAACTTATGGTATGAATCTTTGCTCTTTGAAAGCAGACCTGTCAATCATTAACAGATACCAGTGTTATACATTGTAAACCACTGTGCCCTCATCACCCAGGATTGATGGGCTAACAATATAATGTGTAATCGGGCAGCTTTGGTACGCAAATTCATCAAATACCATAGGTACCTCATTTTCAGTTCAGCATGCACAATGAAATTAAAGCTATACATTTATTGATATGGGTGGAACCTAAATACACAGGTAGATGGGAACATGGAACACCTTATTGTGGCTGTGTGCTAGTTGCGGCTAATGCTGGTTACATTCATAGTCAGTGATTGTGAACGTTTTGGTTTTCAAATTAATTCCACCAGCACTGGAGAGAGAGTGGTTGATGAGACCAAGCCTCTGATGGGATGTCTGTCAGCTTTGTTATACCAAACTATATGTTGCTGGAAACGCATCCAGCGTGCTAACTCTCTGAGTGTAACATCTCCGAGTGTGTTTTTGACCAGAGACTAGGCAGAAACAGTCTCTGCGATTTGGGTCTTCCTGTGGCATTTAAGGCACTTTTGTCAGGAAATTTGGACAGGGCTTAAATAAAAATAGCCTTAGTATTTTTTTATTTTATTTTATTTTACCATGTGCAAATAAGCATCTCAGGTTTTGTCATTCAGACACATTGACAGACATGTTGCCTTTGGCTTACAGCTGTTCTTTGTTTATGTTTATAGTTTAAATAATAAATCATTTCAAAACAAATTATAATTTTCTTGCTGTACTAAAATTCCACCGAGCTGTGAATCCAAATCCGTGGTCTGTACCAAATTGTCAATTTTGTGTACAGTTACACTGCTATTGTCTATAGTGCAGTAGTCTTTTTTTAATGTCAGATTTGCCTGTGACACGTTTTCCTAAATAGTTCTTCTTCTTCTTTCCTAAATCGTTTTCCTAAAAACTCTTTTTTTTACTGCTCATCTCCTCACTCGATTTTTAGACTAGGATGCATGATATTGTGCAATGCCCTTGTAGATGTCAGCAGCCTCATTCAGACAACCATGTGAAGTCTGCTGAGTGATTTCCAGGGGTACAGTCATTGACAAAAGTCTTGTCACATAAGGACATAGTAACTTAAAAAGGCATATAACTTTATTTTTAATCAATCAATTGTTACGATAAATTGATCAATTTAATGCCAAGGAGTTTCACATTAATAACTGGGTGCAAAATGAAACAGTCAAAAAGTGTCCTGATGTTCACAGCTCGTTAAAGTCCATAACACCTGTTTTTGCAAGGACAAAAGTCTTGTCATGTCTTTTAATGATTCAACCAATCACAGATTAGAGGTTCACCTGTGACAAATACTGTAATTAACATAATCCCAGGTGTGTATAAAAAGATCCCCAGCAAACCAGACCTTCACTTAAAGTGCAACCTGACTTCTGACAACATGCCAAAGATTCAACCACGGACCAAGTCTGCTGAGGTGTCAGACGTCATTAATGTATCCAAACATCAAGTGGAGAGGATTAAAAAAAGATATGAAGAAACTGCTGATGTTCATGACAAGCCCAGGTCAGGCAGACCACGTAAGACAACTCTTCGAGAGGACCGTTTGTTGCTTCGAAAGTCCAGGGCCAACCCTTTTTCAACTGCAGTAGAGCGACATCAGAACTAGTCACCAGAAACCGCTGTGTCTACAAGAACAGTTTCTCGAATTCTCGCACGCAGTGGTCTCCATGGCCGAATTAGTGTACAGAAACCAGCATTAATGAGAACACAACAAAAAAACCGTGTTGAATTTGCCAAGGCCCACAGCTTGCAGCAAGGATGGACAGTGGCAAAGTGGCAGAAGGTTGATTTTTCTGACGAATCATCCATTGAACTGCATACCAAATGCTGCAAATACTGTAGGAGACCTGTTGGAACCCGCATGGACCCAAAATTCACCCAGAAAACAGTCAAGTTTGGTGGAGGAAAAATGGTTTGGGGTTACATCCAGCATGGGGGTGTTCGAGAGATCTGCAGAGTGGATGGCAACATCAACAGCCTGAAGTATCAAGACATTCTTGCTGCCCATTACATTCCAAACCATGAGGGGGCAAATTCTGCAGCAGGATGGCACTCCTTGTCATACTTCAGCCTCCACATTGAAGTTCCTGAAACTGAAGAGGATCAAGGTGCTCCAGGATTGGCCAGCCCAGTCACCAGACATGAACATTATTGAGCATGTCTGGGGTAGGATGAAGGAGGAGGCTTGGAAGACAAAACCAAAGAATCTAGACCAACTCTGGGAGTCCTGCAAAACTGCTTTCTTTGCCATTCCAGATGACTTCATCAACAAGTTATTTCAGTCATTGCCAAGACGTATGGATGCGGTCCTCCAAGCTCATGGAAGTCATACATGTTATTAATTCTTTCTTCCAAGGCATCATGACTTTATGTTCTGATATTATTGTAGCATGTTTGTGTATTCTAAATAAAGTATATGTATAATTTCTACATTATTTTTGTATATGACAAGACTTTTGTCCAGGCAAAAGTTGACCTTTCTGTCCTAATTACATGACAAAACTCAATGAATGATGTAAAACTTTATTTTGGTATAATAAGCATAAACTAGAGGGCTTTGCCTTTCTTATAAGCCATTTCTGATTCCAACTGATTAACTACAGGTCAAGTTATTATTTGTTGTTCCTACAACTTGGTTAAGTGACGACTTTTGTCAGGCACTGTATATACTGTATAAACCTGAATATACTCGGGTTTATAATAAGCAGCCAGTTTTTAGAAACTCAAGACCCAAACTGTAGTACACTGCAAATATAATAAAAGCTTACAGCTCTGTGCAATGTGACTGATTTCAGAGAACTTAATTTGATGTGGGGTGGAGTGGTTTTCAATGTTGTCTTTCTGCTCCAGAGTTTAGGGTCCAAATCCTGCCTCTGCTCTCTCTCTCTCTCTCTCTCTAGTTTGCATGTGATCTTTGTTGTGTTTCCTGTCACAGTCTAAAAACTTGCAGTTGGGTATATTGGTGTATCTCTGTATTGTCTGTAAAATCCCTGTGATTACCTAGAAATACCATCCAGGGTGTCTCCTGCTTCATGCCCTATGCTGCCTGGGGTAGGCTCACTGTTCCCAGCAACCTTGTACTGGATATGTGGTTGACTACTACATTTCTACACTAATAACGAAAGGTTGCAAAAAGAGAAATATTATGAGATATAATATTAAGAGAAAATTTTCTGTTTTCTGTGATCCTTTATGGATAATAAAAGCTGGACAAGTAGTGGGACAAGACTATTGATGCCTTTAAACTCTCATACTGGATATAGTGTAAGAACACCGGGGGGAAACAAGTGCATTCTGAACAAATCAAGCCTGGTATTTCGGTGGCTGGACTCAGTCTTCACAACGGACATTCCTTTGGGAAGCATGAACACTTGGATAGAATACAAATGTTGGACCAATTCCATCAATTTAAGCTCTGACAAAGCACAATTGTTTTCAAGGGGAACATAACACCATTCGGCATTCGACAGAAGTTTGACACTAATTTTAAACTTGGACTAGTATATTTTTATTGGAGTATTTGACTCTTAGTAGAGTCTTTTGAAGTGCGTTGGCCAGGTGATTTAGGTGTACATTTTTGTTTTTATAGCCTTTCTGTGCTGCAGCTCACCTGAGCCTAATTTAATTTTCAATGCAGACCAGCATATTTTTGGCTGGAAATAGCCATTCATGAATCAGACGTGTGTGGTACGTTGTTTGGCAAAAATCTAAATTCTCTACTTTAGTGCCCTGTACTGCTTTAAATTAAAGAAAGATTCCTCGCTTGACTGTAACCGAGGCACCAGATGAAGATGGTGGGCAGCCATACTGCAAACTTAAACTTAATTATGATTTTGCACTAATCATCTAACCACTAGCCTCACACAGAGTTATTGAGATCATATGTGGGTTATAATATGTGGGCTGTTGGCCACAACTGGCAGATTTTGTGGAGTGGAATCCAGAATCTGTGTGGACTTTCAGGATGGAAATGCTCCACTCGCATTAATATGCCAACATATTCTTCAGATTCTGTTTCTGATTATTCACATCTATCTACCTCAGGTTCTACTCCCACTGTGAGGGTCATGAACCCACGCTGATGCTTATCAAGACCACTGATCGGGAGGTATGAACCCTCACCATCCAGCTGCTGTCACCATCCACACTTGGATTGGTGTAGAGGATTTAAAATAAGCATGACACTGAACGAAAATGTAGTTCAGTCAACGAAGGTTTGTACTGCATATCAGATGTGACTCTCTTTCATGATTTGTAGCCTTTATTAGCTAAAGTGACATACCCTTACCTTTCCTGATTCCAGGCTGGTTTTTAATCGATATCCCTGTAAGCACAATCCTCTCATTTAATGGTGTCATGTTTAAACAGAACACCTGCTACTTGATTTTTGGATTAAACGGAGCAGTTTGGCCAGCCTCCTCGCTTTCATTAAGGTGGTATAACTGGATTTTGCTCAATCTCTGCCTAGGTGTGTGGAGCCTACCTCTCCACTGACTGGGAAGAGCGTAAGCGGACTGGGAACAAGCTCAGCTTTTTCGGGACAGGGGAGTGCTTTGTTTTTAGGGTGAGTTCCCTGACCTTTTTTGTGCAGAAACATTTTTCAGATTTAAGGATCTAAGCCAGTGTTCACATTACCTGTCTGAAGTGACTCAGAACAGATTTTTTTTTTTTTGCCTTAATGTGACTCAGATCTGATGTTTTCAGGGCTGTGTGGACACAGAAGTCATTTCAAACCAGATTTGAGTCACTTTTATATATGGTCCTAGATAACATACATATTAGATTCGAGGCAATTAGACTTGAATGAGAATGGTCAGATCGGAAATGAAGCAGTTTTTTTTGTTGTTGGTGACACGTGCAAAGACGTATCTGTGTGTACATGCATGCTGTTTCAGATTACATTAGATTAGATTCATCTTTGTCGTTGTTCAAATATAACACTTGTGTTCGCATTACAGTTAGATACTGGTCACTTGTAATTATCAATGTGAGCCGTTAGACAGGCAAATCTGACCAGAGTAAAAAATCTAAATTGAACAATGGGACTTGGCTGGTGAATGTAGCCTTAATATCAATTATTGTGCAGGGACCTAGACTCATCACAAGAGGGCGCCACTGACCTACAGTTCACGTTATCAATGCAGTCTGGAAACATACCCCACCACTTCAGGTTCCAAACTGCAAATCAGAAGCTGACTTTGGACAGTCGTTATTGGATTTTTAATTGGTTTAATGATTTGACCAAATGTGAAACACTGGTGCAGTTAATAAAAAATAATTGAAATTCACTAGTTTCTCAGATTTCTCATCCTACATGGGCAATTAGGTAAGAAGTTTCAATATATTTACAGGACCAACCACCAGTTGCTGAAGACTAAAATCTAGTGTGAAAACGGGAAAAAATAAAGGACAAGTATCTGGACTGTAATAAGTGTGTAGCACATGTACCGTAGAATCTTTGGTGGAAATAAATCTTTAGGCATCATGTTTCAAGCAAAACAACAAACAAAGATGAGGTTGTGTACTAATTGGTGCTGAATTATGACAGAAAAAATGTTTAGTTTGTCATTAGAAGATATTTTAGTATTGTTGAGGTAACAATGTGATGTCATGGCTTAAAAGTGGCTTAATGTTTCTGGTCATTTACGTTAAAAATAGAGCTTTTTTAATTATTAAAATTTTAATAATTAAAAAAAATTTGACTGATGACAAAATGAACGCTGCAAGTATAATGCACACCAGGCATGAATCATTAAGCTTGTTTCGCTCGGAAGTGCACAAAGGCTTACATGGTCACAGCTGGCATTAACCGGGAGCCGCGGGCCTGAAATCCGAGTCGCTCGCACTGTAACCTGAGCCGTCACACACTCACACGCGCCTCGGGGCAAGAGGATGGCGAGGGTGATCTGCCCCATGTCCCACCCAGCAGCAAACCTGACCTTGAAATGGCGACTTCTGTTTATATATCCACAGATGACAAGACCGATGACTATCTGCTGCCTGTTATACACCTTTTTGTTTATAAAGGCTTGTCTGTGTTTGTGTGTGTTTTGGGTGTTGCTGTGTAGATGAAGCCGGAGATGGACAGGTTCGAGTGGGTGGTGATCCGTCACCCCGAGCGGGCATCTGCCGTTCCCACTCAAGACAGCCCAACACATGACACTGAGACCTCTGACCAGGGCAACTCAACCGCCAACACCCTGATGCCTGGCCAGCCCGGCACTGACCCCTCCGATCGCCTGTCCCCCTTCCTCGCCACTCGCCACTTCCACCTGAGCTCCATGAACAGCTCCATGTTCATGGCCGGAGGCATCGATTCCATAATCATAGGTCAGTGTTGAGGGATGGGGGGCCCTGGACCTTAGCCCTGGCTATGTGAGATCCACCATCCATTAGCCTTTACGGGATAACAATAAAGAGAGAAAAGACGTCCCTTGATTCCCAGGAGAAGTACTGATATTACTTTTTTTATGTATGTTGAAGTAGCACTGTTACTGCTTTTTTCTAGTTTTTCTTGAGGGGGGGTCCCTCTGACCTCTGTCCTTTTCCTGTCCTGCCAGGTGGTGGCGATGGCAATGCTCTTTACCTAGACTCAGAGTTGAACCATGGACGAACAGCATGCTGCGCTACCTTCGAGAATCCACCCCTTTGTTCTGAGAACTTCCAAGTGGCCCTGCTGGAGGTGTGGGGCTTTGAAGATGGTCAGGGCACTTAAGAGGGCAGAATCAGACCTAGGAATAGGGCCTTGGCGCTACAGAAATGCACATCTCCTGAGTTGGAGTGAGGGGATCCAGCCATTGCACTATACTGAAACACACTCCCTCAGTCATTATAAGTGTTGTTCCTATGTATCAAGAGCAAGGCTTCGATTTGTCCTTCTCTACAGTCTTAATCCCAGTCATTTCAGATCTCAGAGTACCGTCCAATAGAAGAGTCACATGTTAAAATGTTCTAAAGGATATCACATAGATATTTAATTTCTTGCACAGACATAATGACTTTTTGTTTCGATTATGTGCACTAACATTACTTGCTAGTATTACACACTCTACTTCTCATTTATATCAGGATTTTTGACTGTACAAACTGGTAAGTGCAAGCAGCCAAAACAAACAGTCAAATATGTGGGTAGCTTACCCAAGCGTCATGGAGCCCTTGACGGCGTAAACGTAAACGCCTTTTGAAGTACATATCTCGGCTATGAAGGTGATTTTTGTCAAGTATGTCTCAAAATATTTGTGGTTGTATTCAAACTATGAAATTGGTCTAAAAGAGGATGCAGCAACCATGTTGTTTTTTGGGTTATGTGCGGTTTATTTGTTCTTAGCTACATATCAAATGTCTATGCAGTTTATCTTAGGGTCATGCATGATATGGTGAAGTTGTGTGGATGTCAATCGATTATGAATCAACTGTGCTCTTGATTTAAATGTTTAGTTTGTAGGTTTGTTTCCGTCGTAGTGTACTGTGGAAGTTTTGTTTGGTGAAATGAAGTTAATATCTGCACAGAGCTATATGAAAGATTTATGCTTACTCAGATTTGGTTAGTACCCACACTTGGTGTCACTTGCATTGAGACGCCAACTTAATGCCAGCATCCTCTTTGGGTAGCTTACGAGGAACCAGGTGAGATATTGTGCATAAAAATGAATATACTACCATGTTTCATTAAGACGTCTCCAATGGTGAAATGTTAAACTGATCAATTTGAGCAAAATAATGTATGCATGCAATTTATCTGTAACGTACTCTTTCCTCCCTGGCTACCCATAATCACGTTTTGCTCATTCATGATATTAAAGTATTGTAAAGCTGATGTCCAGTGATATTTTTATATCTAAACAAATACATATTTCATTGTGGGTTTTCATGTATATGAATTAAAGAAGTAGTAATGCTGTTCTGTATGTCACTACTTTGAGAGGAGCGTCCGTCGATCTAAGGAGCAATAAAATTTGCTTTTCCGAATTTCAACAAATTAGCAAGATTGCGCTACCATATACAACTGTGGAGTGTGCATAATTATAAAAATACGACGACGGAGATAGGAAGAGCGTCCGCAGTACCCTCCAGAAACGCCCTTGTGATCGTGACTGTTGTTGAAGGGGTTCACACCCACGCGCGCTTGCGTAATCGCACGTCCTCTTCAGGCGCATCCGTCTCTCCATCAGCTGAGTTTACACTCGGTTGCCATTCGCTAGAATTTATAATAAGCACTACATTGCTTTAGTGCGTTTCCCAATTATTCTATAGATGCAACGGTATCGTGTATTTTTTTTATTATTATTTCACCCCAAATTATGTATTACCGTGTGTGATTTTAAAGTTCGGAGTGTTTTGTTTCTCTTTGGTTTGGCTACCTTCAGGTACGCAGCTCCTACTGCGCAAGTCCCATTTTAAATTCCACAGCTGAAGCTACGGTGAAGCTGCGCATGTTGTACGTCCCGTGGAGTATAATTGCAGACCTAAAACTAGCGTGTCATTCAGAGTAATTCTGTTTTGAAGTTAAATGTATGTTTCCAGTGTTTATTGTGTTGATAGATCAAATTGCTTTTCATCAGTTGATACTGTATCTAGTGACATAGTATCACAGTAAGCACTTATAATTATTGAATTAATTTTCGCATTTGGTGTTTATTAGAAATACAGTTGTTCATGAAAAACATGAACCATGTCAGATAGAATACATTTTCAAATGAAATATGTCATGAAATATTTACGGTGGAAAATGTAATCCCTACATATATTTGTTTTGGATTTTTGAAAAACACCATTTTTTTAATAGTTGAAAGATGATTTTTGAGACATAATCACCATGAAATATATTTGCTTGAGAGACGGTACCGTCCCCTCGAAGAGAAATATGGGTCAGTGTATGATTAATTAATGTGTGTATGCATTCTCGTCATCTGGTCATAGTGGTCAGTTTGTACGTTGCAGCATTATAATAAAAATTCTATTTTTGGGAAATAGTGGGAAGCGTCAAAATGGGTACCTGCCGCAATTGTTTGTAAAAAATAATCGCGCAGTACCTTCGCAAGCACTGATATGGCCTTACGTCTCCAGGGTTGTGGGTTTAAATCCAGTATGTGTACATCTTTTCTCTCTATCTTTAGTTGGATTTTGCGGTTTCTGATTTCATCGCACAAAATAAAAGACGGTCTCTTCAGATGAATCGATCAGTCTACATTAGTACTCGTGTAAATGTCCTACCTCGTTCATTCTGTGATGCCTCGTGATTCCTGGGCTTGGTTTTGGATCTTTACAAACCTAACAATGTGTTCACAGAAAATGTGATCTGTTGCCAAGCATGTTTTTTTTTTTTTTTTTACTGACATTTTCCCCTGGGCATCCTCTGTCTGTTTCAATGTAAGAATAAATACTTTCCTATGTGTTTTATTTAGGTAAAACAAGGAACTTTCGAAAGAGTCAGATCTTACGGACTTTTAACCAGAAGATGTTTAGTCATGAGGAGAGACTGATGCGGATTCTATTTTTGCTGGATACTTCCCCTATTTTCAGTCTCATATGAAATATAAAATATGTAAGGATACAGTATATTTCAGTGGTTAGACACTGCACAAACAGAATACCAATAACAGTCGGTGCCTGCTTGTAGATGCAGTCAGTGGATCCTCTTTTGTATTCAAATTCCTCAACACAACATCTAATTATTTGAATTGGTGGATTTTCAAAGATGTTGTAATATTGATAGATTGTGAAAAACAGGGAATTGTAACTCAAGCAGTACATGACCTGCATAGCACTGGGCAGAATTAACTTAAAGTACTCCAGTAGGATAACTGTGGAAAGTGGTAAGTCATATTTTTGGACAAAAATCTCAAATAACCAACAAAATGTGTATGGCCAAATAGCTAGTGGTGATCAGTATAGGGCTAAATTACAGCTGCAAAGAGACACATGCCTGTTCAAGAGCACTCACGACAGAATATTCCATGAACAGGCAGGCATGATGAAACTTCCCATGTCACATGTTGCGGGTGGGGGTGTAGAATGCATCTATTTTAAAAAGGAAGACACTCCACGCCTAAGTGGTTCATACGTAGTGGTGTAGTTAGAGATAGATGAATAGGGCAGCTGAATCCTTACTGTGGGGGGTGGAAAACATATATAATGTAAAAGGCTATTCATGACTTAAGCCAATAAATACACACATGGGGGAGGGGGGGCTAAAGCCCCCCTAAAATAGGCCTAATGATGTTTAATAAATATTATTGGCACTACATGCCTTGCATTATTCGCGTATATTTCATGAATGATTTCAGGTTTCGTTTCAACAAACTACTTCACTGTTTATAGAAGCTCTTTCACAATGACTGAGTTCTGGATTTGTGGAAATTGTGGATTTTACCATCATATTGAAAAACATACTTAAGTTTTTAACTCTTTGAACAATCACCACTCAGGGCTGGGGAGCAGTGTGAAGTGATTCGACAGAGATGAGGAGCGTCCACGATTTGCTATCTAATGCTCAATATTGAACACTAGGATTTGTCTTACTGCGTTTGATTGGCCTGTTTCCCCGTGCATTAAAGTGATAAAGCTGTTACCGTACCAAAGATACCATTGCTCTTTTTTCACACTGCTTTCAGGTATGTCCTTGTGACTGTGATCTCTGCACATTTTCTGGATATAGTGCATGTTTTACAGAGATTAGATACTGTTTAAGAATAATGGTGGTTTTTCATGTTTGATATTTCATTTAACAGTTTATGTACTCGATCTGCATAGAAAAAGGTTTTACTCACAAAGGCTTTCGCTATTTGTATTTGGGAATCAATATATTATTTTATATAGAAGCACCAGTAATCGTTACATTTAATATTACGTTCGGGTTTTGCACTTGTTCACATTAATGACACTTCATCACACACGTATTTGTATGGAAAACAGGCCTATATTATATGTTCTGTCATGCTGAATTTAAGGCATTTTAATGATAAAGTAAAACTATGGAGTACAAAGGAATACCCACAGTCAATGAATTTGGTTGGAAAATATCATATTTGAACATTATAGGACTCATTTGTTCTTTAAAAAAATAGGTGGAGGAAGAAATTGCACTGTGGCTGAGGGCTCCTTGTCTAGCCGGCTATGTAGCACTGCAGGCTTTAGATAGCACTGAGGGAGGGAGGGGCATGTGCTACCACTCTGACTCATGCACTCCCACCCATTTTGATAGCCTCCCATCTTACACAAACACACATACATCCAGGGGTGTAGGAATGAGGGAGGGGACATGTACCCTCCAATTTTTTTGTACTCACCCCCCCCCCCCAATAAATAGACTTTTGTATTTATATTATTATATATCAAACTCTCTGCTATACCGTTGCTTACATCTTAAGTCATTTTTACCTGCAAGCAGTATATTATTTACCCTCAGGGCCAGTTTGCACTATGGGCGACATAGGCGATTGCCTAGGGAGCCATTTAATTAGGGGGCGCAAAAGGGCGAGTGAAAAAAAATCAGAAATACCTCTGGCTACATTCTGTGACACATTTATTCAGGCTATTTCTAATATTTCACTACTTTTCTTGTGAAACAGACGCAAACTCACCTGTGTATAGACACCCTGTGCTACTGAATTGTAACCCCTAAAATATACAGGCCTTCTCATGTATGGCACGGGACTGAGGTGAGCACTCAGCAGAATCTCGCCTAAGGCGCCCGAACACCCAGTGCTTGTAATATCTCCTCTTCAGGTACATTATAAGCAACCGAGGAATGAATTAGTTTTGTTGTTATTATTATTATTATTCTACCCATGTGTTCAGGCATAAATAGGTCTACATTAAGCATTTATGGATTTGTGAATTTACATTGTACCAAAGCAGGCTGATAACTCATCATTAAATGGACCTATTGATCTAAGATTGCTGGAAGGTTAACATTAAGATTCTAATTATTACTGTAAATGAACAATCTCAAGAAAAATGTAGTATGTAAAATGTATCTTAATAAGTGTTTCTTAAATATATTTGTGTGTCTCTGTGTATTGCCTAATTAAGGGCAAGAATTAATAAGAGTCATTTAAAAATCAATTTAATATACAGCTATTGATAATAGTAAATTATAGAATATTAGGTATAACATTTTTTACCTGATCTGACACAACTCTGCTTGTAAAATAGGACTAATGCATAAACGGTTTTTGAGTGGAATGAAGTTAACAGATAGGATTTCATGAGTAGTCAAAGACAAAGAATTACTTCCCCTTGCTGACTGGAGGTCACAAGACACATCACGAGTTTACGTGATTTTCCAATCAGCTATAAATCTGTAAAAGGTACGAAGTGCAGTTGTGTATGAGATCGTGCCGTTTATTCAAATTTCTTTCTAATGCTTCGTTTCATAACTTGCAGCGCTTAATTGCAAGAGCATGGTCATTTTGTTATCGCATTTTCAAATACATTCTCAGTTTAAGTGTTTTAAGACCATTATAATTTGTATGTCATTTGAAAAGAAAAAAAAACACCACGACATCGTTCAATACTAAATGTAACACAACATAATATAAGTTATATAAAATATGCATGTGTACTACTGAGTATGAAACGATCTTGCAAGGGAATTTCCAAATTGTGCTTGGTTACTCCGCCATTATTTCTCCTAAACACACTACTATACAGCAAGCACACCTTACCGAGGCGCTCTGCGGAGGAACGCACCACTTTCGCTCTGAAAGAAAACGTCACATTGAAATAGCAAAACACTACCAAAAAAACGTACTTACATGATCGCTATATATTTAAACAAAATCAATATTTAAATAATATATACGCTGATTATTAGCATTAAAGTAATCGCTCAAATGAGTTGAAATAAACATTTATGCATATGGGACCCCCTACGATTCCCCAATGGACTGTGTCCATATGGTCGGTCAGGTGATATTTTCCGCTTCGCCATTTTGTGTCGCTGGGCCGGTATTTATCGGAGGGGGAAACTAGTGACTCGTCCACTTACGTAGCTATCTGGTCGCTTGGTGTCGTTAGCAAGTCGCCAACCCGCAACTCACGATTTAGATAATTAACACGACTATTAAACGGAAGGACGTCGCCTTTAGTGAAGCGTTTAGTTTTGTATTCCTGTTTTTTTTAGTGTGAGTGGGAAAGGATGTCGTCCACCGCCCCTGAATACTCTCCCTTCTTCGCGGTGATGGGTGCCTCTGCGGCTATGGTCTTCAGCGGTAAATGAAGCATTCAAATTTATTATTTGTCATTCTCTTCTTCTTGTTGTTCGAGTGAATTGCTATTTATTTCCTCCCTTTTAACGTGTAATGTATGTATGTGTGTATATATATAATATATATATATGGTAAAATGTTGAATTGCCGTGTGTGCCAAACCTGTCGTTGGGGGTGTTTAATTGGTTCGTTACCTAGGAAGACAGAAGGTAGCAGTACAGGAAAGGGTAGGGATGTCATGAAAGATTAAAACGCCAACCTGACTAGTTTAGGGTTTGCACAGGATTTGGGGGGGGGCAGGTAATCATGTACCTGGTTGTCTACGCGTTGTCCTGTTTTGAAAAGCGATGGCGTTGATCACATATGCTGACTAGTCGGTTTATTGCTAAAGATGCCGTTCAGAACATGGCTGTATCTATGCTAGGCAATTGAAACTTAGTAATAAGTAGACGACCAGTAGTTGCAAGTGCTGCCGTGCGTGATGCAGCCCGGTACGTCTCTGTACGAAGGCGCCGCAGGGGTGCCTTTCCAAAGCTGCAGTAAGTCGTGTTCCCAGTAACCCCCCTGGGCACGCGAGTGTTTTCTCCAAATACCAGCTTTCACGTCAAATGTCAGTGTCGTGTTGCTAAGTCCATCGGCCATTAACATGATTCGATTGCGTATGCTGCTAGTATGCGTAAATCGGCCATGTTACGTCTATTGTCTACGGTAAATTCATTGATTTTGCAAACGATTCGTCCAGGGCTGCCTGAGCGCCCCCCTCGAAGAATCGGCCATCTTCGCCGTCTTCTACGCTCATGTCATATTTCCTCCCGTTTGTATTAGGATTCCAATGCCATATTCCTATTACTTCCGTTCGTACGCCTTTAAGCGGTGGGACACCCTTTTCGTAAATTGCATTTCCTTATTGGTGACGCTTTTCTGTGAGGTATACGCAATGACTGGTATCTCTGGCTTTGCCCTTTCAAAGCGGAAAACTTGTTACTGAAAACTGGTGACATTGTACAGTTATGGTTAAAATGTTAATTATAACCCGTCCTCTCCTTTGGTCACCGTGACAGCTTTTAAAAACCTCTCTATTGATTTTGTAGTTGCGGCTTTTGTTGTAGTTTTGTTTTAAAATGCCTTTAATTTGAGCTATGGTTACTATTTTCAACAAGTGTTTCGGTATATGTCGACCTCATCTTTCTGATGTATTGAAATGGTGGACAGCTAAGCTGCAGAAATGATTTTTGATGTTCATGGAAATTCCATGCAATTTCTTGCCTGCCATACATGAGTAAAGGGGCATTACATATATTCTCTAAAGACTAATCGTTAATTTGCTGTAAATGGTACATCCTAAATATTTCTGCTGATTTTGTTTGTAGACATTTAACATCTGAACGTCTCACTGTCGGGTGTTATAGTGAAATCTGATGACCTGCAGGGAATCCCAAGAACAAAGACCTGCTTTACTGGTGACTTAAATCTTCAGCAGTTTTGCGATTTTGGTATCTAATGATAATGTCTTCTTCATAGTAGTAAATATTACTGTCATGTTACAGTTTCCTCTTTGAGCAAATTACCTCACTTAAGTGAGTATGTACCAGCCAGTAAGGCATAACAAAAAGAACCTGGAACAGAAAAGCTACCATTCTGCCACTTACTGTTCCCACTTACACAGCTCTCAGTATCTTTTGTGCCTCTTTTTGTGTGCAGCATATGCTTAGTTTTTTTTAGCTTTGTTGGTTTACTGTTGCATAAAGAGAGTGTTTCCTTTTTATCTTTACTTTGATGCAGAGGGAAACCAAGGACCACAGGCATGCTGTCAAGGGTTTTGATTAAAAAAAATTATAATAATAATAACTTGGATCTGTTGGATTCTGCATGTGCTGTAACAATTGTTCAAGCACATTGCTGGTTGAAGTCTTAGAAATCTACAGTTGTAGCCTCACTGGTTCTTATGGATTTTTCTCAAGCCAGATAATAAATTTATTTGGTTTAAAGGGGAAGAATTCAGTGTCTGGGCTTCTCAGTCAAAGTGTATGGACTGCAGATTAATGATGTTTCTTGGCAAATAAAAAGAGGAATATATTAGGTAGATAATCTGTGCTTCTTGCATAAACCGGAGATCCAGATTTTCCCTTAATATGGGTAAAAAAACTGCCTAATCAAGCCTTACTGTAGAGTTGGGATCAAGGCCTGTATGTGAAGCAGTCTGAAAACCACTGTTATTACTTCAAATGAAAATGTAACAAAATATCTCTGAAGTCTGTTTTTAAAGAATGTGTAGTTTTTGTATTTTAAACATTTGCTTTTAATGGAAAAATGGAACCAAATGGTGATCTTGAAGCCACAAATGTGCAAAATCTGCCCACACACTGTGGGGCATCAAAGCTGTCCCTGTTAATTCTAACTGGAACAGATAGTTTGTCTTATTTGGCCTGATAGGCACATCTTTGTGTGTGAGAGCCAATAATATGCTTTTGGTCTGTAAAGTGGAATATGCAGTGTGCGGTGATTCCACACTTGGAATTAAATAGATTTGTTGTTCATCAGTTTATTGCCCTTAATTAACCAGTCATAGCAGTTTTAATGAATTGGTTGGCCAATTACCTGTTTTTCCAGTATACTTGCTAAATTTCTAAACGCATGACTGTATAGTCTTAGCAGTTGTAGATATTCTTGTCTATGTGAGTAAGACCTCTGGTAGCCTTTTCTGTATGGGTGCTACTGACTGCTTGAGCTCCATCACTCTGGTGTGACCTGGTCTGGGAAGGGCCTGGTTCTGTTAATTTAGGGGTGCTGCTAATGGACTTACATCCCCAGTATTACCAGCACAGAAGCCAGAATGCACCGTCTGCCTTCTCTTGCAGTTGGTGCCAAATGGATGGTGCCTGTAGAGGCTCAGTGTGGGTCTCATTTTAGGTCACTTCTCTGCCCTTTAATTTGTGATGTACAGACCTACTGTACTACCTGGGCATGTGCTTTTCTAGTGTTTAGGTGGCGCTTGTGCATCCAAATTCTCTGACTTGGTTTTTTTTAAAGGGTTTAGGGGATGTCAAAGCTTTCAGTTCCTGTTGATTTTGGTGACACTTCAGCAAGATCTGTGGCATTCTCACTCTGTCTTTAATTAGAAATAACTGTACTGCTTACTCTCGGTTCCATCCAGAGTCTTACACCATAGTGAAAATGGTCTGAGCTGGCGATACTCTAGTAGGAAGTGGTCTTGTTGAGCTGCACCTCAGAGCACCTTGATGCTTGATAGTTACCCAGAAATATGCACCAGTACTGTGTTTTAATAGTGCTGAACTTGCATTGCACTTCTCATTTTATTCATTCATTTGAAGTTTGTGAGAGTATGATAGTTGCTATAGGCAGTAAGAACTGTCAACCCATTTGAATACCTTGTATATGTTCATTCCCTATACACACTTTTTTTATTTGGTGAATATCTACAAAATACACGCACACATACAGCTCTGTCTTCTGGTATGTGAATCTTGGAATAGTTGTCCGGAAAGTCAAAGGCCCATTGATCCAGTAGGAATAGCCAAATTCCTAATTAACCAGAAATATAAAGCTAGACATGGAGTTGCTGTCTGAAGGAAGGTTGTGAGGACCACAAGAGTAACTGGGTTACATCTAGATGACTGCCATGGAACAAAAGACTTGTTATGGCTCAAGTTACAGTAACAGTAGACATTGCTCCCCAATCCAGTCCTCCCACAATCCAGCAACACTGCTAGATCACAATGAAAATTGGTTGATTTAATGGTCACAGTTTTTAATACTCTTCACAGACCCAGATGTATGTTTTCAACATTGGCTAGTTTTCTCAGCATGACCTGTGTGACTACAAAGCCCATAAGAGATCAGCTCAGATATGTCCAGTGGGAACTCCCTTTCCTGTGTGCTGAAGCAGCACTTAGTTTTACATGATCTGGATGATGCTGTTCAAAGGACGTCCTTTGTAGGCCTAACGTAGCTCCCTTTGGTAACAATTAATGCACATCTCTGGGGAATCACACAGGTTCTATAAAGCTGTGATGCCCTCTAAAATGACTGATATGAGAAACTTGGGTATTTCTTATATTCTGAATTTCAAAGGGAAATGAAAATGAGCTCATTCATAATGAGAGTAAGTTTTTATAAATGTGGCATAACAGGAACTGATGGACATTGAAGATTGAAGACTGAAGACTTGACACCTTACAAGCCAAAGCCATAGCTGTCTCCTCTCTGCTGGCTTAACAGTTTCTGCAGTGGAAGTCCTCCAGACCCCCTGCTTTCCCCATTGGGTTAAATATGTGCTTTCTCTGTTGTCACTTGAAAAGCTGAGATATTGCTGAGGTAAATGCAGGAAGAGATTTCATGTGATCTGGCTAGTATGATTGTATGGTGGTGGTGACCCACCACAAAGTGCAAATGCACATGTATGTATAGGCCTGGGTTGGGGTGGAGGGTGGGGTTGTTTTGTGTGTTGTGATTTGGCCTATTTGGAAAATTAATGATTTTATTTAAGTTCTTTAATTAAAAAAAAAAAAAAAAAAAAGTTGATTTTGTTCATAGCTGTTATTTAACAAGCTATGCAAATGGGTTGGAAGAGTGTTCTTTGTAGTACATGCCATTACTTGGTTAACACCTATGGTTAAATTTTGTGTCCTGTGTTTGATGGAGAAATCCTTCCCTATGGCATGAGTCCCCTAGTCTTTGTTAATTAGTGTCCAAAGAAGTGAATGTGAGGGCTGAGCAGCTTCTTCATCTAATAGACGAGTTCCAGGTGTTTAGGTGTCAATGTGCCGCAAATCTCCAGGGCTGAGCGCCTCTCGCTGCGTGGCTCCTCAGACTCCTCCGCGTAGGGCTCCGCATGTGGCGCTGAGGCTGTCGGCCTCTCCGTCTCAGCTGTAGCAGCACAATGGCTTTAAGAAGGACCGCCTGTCTCGAATCTGACTGCGTGAGGAAAATACCAGGGACTCCGTCACCTGGCCTAAAGGAATAACCATCCTGGCTGAAGGTTGCTCCTTTTTCACTGGAGGAGCTCACAGCAGACCCATCACTCCAGTCGGTGCTTACGTCACACTGAGTAGCCAATGAGGGGGTGCCCTGTCCCCACCCCCACACTGGCCTGATCAGCCCCATTCTAAGAGGCTGGTTTTTTTTATTTTAAGAGTGACCTTCAAAAAATGAATGCAGCACAATTAACTATAGATTTTAGACTGTATGTAAATCTGTCCCTATATATAAATCCATTGGAAAGGCAGGTTTGGGTCTAGTGAAGCTATAACATGCCAGAAGAATTCATCTGCTGCCACTTTCTGCTGCAGTTTCCTTTCCTGGTTCTGCAGATCTCAGCTCTGATGCCCCCCAGCCTCAGCGGAGCAGCTGCTGCGTAGATCTTGAGGAATGTGGCATTTTCGCAGAACGGGGATTAAAAAGCACCGCATCATGGCAGGCATTGCTGTAACCTGGCAGCAAGGACAGTTTGCCCGTCCATCGTGTGCAGTGTCTGGCTATTTAATTAATGGAGTTGGTGGGGGTGGTAGTTTACCTTCATTCATTTTTCATTTGAGTAATTAAGTAGCAAAGGAAAAATCTGTAGGGTTCTCAGTCTCCCGTTAGTCGTGGATGATCATTTTTATTTGCAACAATGTGGATATGAATATAACTGTAATTGATTTACAGATTTGCTTTAAGTGCAGTTCATGTCCCAGTTTTGTCAGAACGGGATGTGTGTAGGTAACATTTACTAACATGGCCGTTGTGTGTCTGTGAAGCTTTGAGCCCAGCCTGCAGTGCCGAGGATTGCTGTGACATTTTCTGCAGTTCTCTGAAGCTCACTTTTCGCCTCCCTTTCTGTCTCACAGCCTTAGGAGCTGCATATGGCACAGCTAAGAGCGGCACCGGCATCGCTGCCATGTCTGTGATGCGGCCCGAGCTGATCATGAAGTCCATCATCCCCGTGGTCATGGCGGGTATCATAGCCATCTATGGCCTGGTGGTGGCAGTGTTGATCGCCAACAACATTTCAGATACGGTCTCCCTTTACAAGTAGGTGCCCCTCTTTCTGGGACATATGTTCCTGAGGATTTTTTTTTTCTTTCCAGCTTTCCAGGTGTTCGTGCAGATTTTGCTAACTGGTTTCCCACCCCTCTTCCCAGGAGCTTCCTCCATCTGGGGGCAGGGCTGAGTGTGGGCCTGAGTGGCCTGGCCGCCGGCTTCGCCATCGGGATCGTGGGCGATGCCGGGGTTCGGGGCACAGCACAGCAGCCCAGGTTATTCGTAGGCATGATCCTCATCCTTATCTTCGCTGAAGTGTTGGGTCTTTATGGCCTAATTGTGGCTCTCATCCTCTCTACAAAATAAATGGGAGTCCTTCCAGTGAGTGTGCTGCTGAACGGGGAGAGGAACTTAAAGAAAAAAAGAAAAGAAAAAAAAAAGGAAACAATTAATATAGCTCCATAAATGATCTTATCCACAATGTGTACAGTTGTCTCGGTTTGGTAGTCAACCTCTTGTAAATGCGCGATGTACCCTAGTGATTTGTCTGTCCTGTGTGTGTAGATTTTTTTCTTTTTTTTTCTTTTCCTTTCCATTGGTTGGCCTGAGTCATTTGTTTACTGCTTGTGTTGACAAACTATGACTGGCCTGGTGTCCCCCCCCCCCCCTTTCTTTCTTGGGACGGTTTCCACATTGTTGCGGATCTGTAAAAAATATATATATATATAAATGGGATAGGTTTTTTTTCCACTGATTTTATTTATAAAAATTTTGAAATGCTGATAAAACTGTTTTAAATGGAGCAAAGTCTTTACTGAATTCCCCGTGATATATATGTATATTATAAATATCTATGTATAGGTAGATTTATTGCACTGTGGCTAATTGTAATAAGTGATTGGAATTCCTATGGATGTGATGGGTTAAAATGGATTGCCTTTAGTGTCCAGGCCATGGAGTGGGACTTGTGTTTTAATTACTGCTGACATTCTTAAAACACTTGTAACATGTTTTCCTGTAGTACAGTTGTCCGATTGCAGTAAGTATGTGCCCAGTGTTGGGTTTCACAGGTCTAATTTCCAAATAAATTTCCTTGACGTATTCCAACATCATTTGTCATTGTGAATCATAAGAACAAAGTCATTAAAGGGAACTGACCTTAAGTTGTATTAATGTTTGTGTCCCCATTTTCTTCTTGATATTGTTAGGCTAGGTTTGGTATTTCCACACCATTTGCTTCATTGTTAGCTTTTGAGTAGCAAAGTGTTTTAGCATGACGCCGCTCACCGTGAAGTAAGGGTTTCACACACTTCACGTCTATGATGGGACTGTTGGACATACAGAACCCTGTAAGCAGCAGGATTTCTTGCTTAGCCAGATAACTTGTTGGATTTTAGGTAGTCTTGGCTAAATGGACCCGTTGATTTACATTTAGCCCAGAGTACCTTAAATGTGACAAGTTCTCTGGGAAAGCAAGACCGCCCTACTTTGTGAAACGCATCCCAGGAAGGTCTGACCTGGTCCACAGCAACAGTGCAGAGTATTGGGTAAGAACTACCACTGCACTGATGCTTCAGGTGATTTTCAGTTCTTCAGCTGATATTAATCCATTCAATTACTGCATTTTATTTATTTAGCAGACACTTTTATCCAAAGTGACATTTCTGAGAGAGCAGGGTCAGACAATCCCTGGAGCAACTGGGGTTAGAGCCTTACTCAGGGGCACACTGGTGAAATCACACTAACAACACAGATCTGAACCAGGAACTTTCTGATCACAGGCACACAATGCCATGGCAAAGTACACTCTGCATAATTATCAGGCAAGGGTGAATTTTGCTTGCATCTTCTCTTCTGACTAATCCTTAAAGTCCAGATTAATCTCCAATTAAGTGATTTGAGTTCTTTGTTTTACTCCAATCTTCAGCAGTACTAGGCACAGTGTGCTACATGACATTGCTAACATTACAAAGGCTGAAACACAACCTCAATTAGGCACATGGGCTAAAAGATAAGATATGTCCATGCATGTTCTTCAAGACTAATTTTGCAAAGGTTATATGGACAGATGAGAGTGACTCTGGATGGAGTGGATAGGCCTATGGATGGATACTTTCAAGCACCAACAAGGTGGTTGAGGAGTGATGGTGTGGGCTGCCGTTATCAGTGATGAACGTGCGGATAGTGTACAAAGTAACAAACCAATTTCCAGAAGACGCCTTCAAACACTGACACAAGAGGAAGTCCGCAGCTTTCAAAAAGGTTTTGATGTTCATGCAGGACAGTGTCCCTCCCCATGATATTCACACAGGACAGTGCCCCTCTCTATGATATTCATGCAGGACAGTGCCCCTCTCTATGATATTCATGCAGGACAGTGCCCCTCTCTATGATATTCATGCAGGACAGTGCCCCTTTCCAAGCATCAAAGCATTCCACAGATTGGCCAAGAAAGGCTTGTAAGGTGACTGAATTATTACCAGGCCCCCTTCATCGCCTGACTTACCCCCAATTAACTACTGGGCCTTAGTAGTTTGAGATTTATCAAGATGGCAAGCAGTACACTTCTCAGAGCAGCATCTGGAAGGCAGTTCTACCTGCCTCAGTTAATATACGATGGGATCAAATCAAAAACTTGATTGGTTCAATGGACAACAGGCTCATGATGGTCATTGTGGCTATACAGGATATTTGGTATGGTAAAGTGAACTGTATACAACAGCTTATTCTGAAACTTCTGAATTCACTTTTATAAATTGGCCCAACTTTTACTAAAAATGATCTCTTGGAATAGTACTCATCTAATAATTCTTCACATAGTATATTTACCCCCTACATGATTCCTTCTATTTTTTCTTGCAGCGGATCTTCAAACAAATTAAATAAACCTGAGTAAACACAAGTTTTTAAAAGACCATTTGATTCATTGAAGGAAAAAATATTCACCAACACCCATATCACCCACGTGACAAAATAATTACCCCCTTAGTCACTCAACCAATGAACCAAATCTAAATGATTATGGGTTAAGTTAAACTTGACACACCTAAGCCTGATTTGCTGCCAGCCCTGTTGAATCTAGACATCACTGAAATAGAACCATTCCAGCAATGTGGATAAGGGGTCTCTAGAAACAGCACACCATGCCTAGATCAGAAGCTCCTGAAGGCCTGAGACAAAAATTTATTGAAATATGTCAGGAAGGGGATACAAGGCACTATCTAAACCCCTTGGACTACAGCAAAGCAGGCGAAGAGCCATTATCTCCAAATGGAAAATACTTGGAACAGTGGCACATCTGCCCAGGAGTTGCCGGCCTAGCAGAATTACTCAGAGTGAATAGAGAATTCATCAGGGAAGCTGCAGCAGACCCCAGATAAACATCTAAGGAGCAGCAGGCCTCTCTCAGGTCAGTTAATGTCTGCATTCATGATTCCATAATTAGAAAGGCGCAGGAGAAAAAATGGTGTCCATGGGAAAAAGAAAAGGCAAAAACAACCTGAGGAACATGAAGGTTCATCTAATGTTTGCCAAAGAACACCATGCAACCCCCCAACACTTTCGGGTGAATGTTCTGTGGACTGATGTCAGAAGTGGAGCTTTTAGGAAGACATGGGTCCTGACACAGCTTAGAACACAAGGAACATCGTTCCCAGTCAGACACGGTGGAGGCACTGTGATGGTGGGGGATGCTTTACTGCTTCAGCGCCTGGGAGATGCCATAATTGAGAGACGCATGAGTTCAACTGTCTACTAGAACATCATCAGTCTGTTATCTCAAGAGCAATTGGGTTATGCGGCAGGGCAACGATCCAAAGCACAAGAGCGAGTCTACCTCTGAATGACTGAAAAAAAATAAGTTTTGGAGTCACCTAATGAATGTCATGTTGTAGCAGGTCCTTAAATGGGCAGTTCATAGCTGAAAATTCTCCAATGTGGCTGAATTAAAACAATTCTGTATTTACTTTATCACATAGGTGATACGGTTGTTGGTGAATTTATTTTCCGTCAAGAAATCAAATGACCATCTAAAAACTGTGCTGTTTACTTAGGTTGTCCTTTGTATTACATATATACATATATATTTGTTTGGAGACCAGACATAATTATGGAGAAGAAAAAATAAAGGAAATATAGGGCAAATACTTTGTCACAGCACTGTATGTTTAAATGCTTGTTCACAAGGACTGGGGCTCCATCCCAAACAGCAGAAGAGACAAGCTGTGGTTTATGCCATTAACACGCCACAGGCAAATGAAAATATGTACTCAATAATTTCCAGTCTTTGGAGAGAAAAAGAAAAAAGCAACTGACCTACAAAAAGGATGTACGACATTGAACCCAAAGTCTATATGCTAAGCCAATGCCTACATACATCATCCTTCTCAAACTAGTCAATGGTCTTTAATCTGACTACAAATGCGAAAGTAATGTTTGGGTCAAGTTTATTTTTAAAAATACACATATCCTCCAAACACAGTGGCCATTAATTTTAACTTTCATCCACCAATCATCCATCCATCTCCCAGTCGTTAATCCTGTTCAGCCTTGCAGGCAGGATCTGGGCCCTATCCCTGGCACCACAGATCAGGGAATCAGGGATGCCAGTACATCACTGGACACACACACATGCATGTGAAAATTACAAAACCATCTTGAGATACAAGTTCACTGAACTATACACCAAGTACAAAAATAGATTACGAGATTTAATTTGTAGATTACGAGTAATATCCATGAATTTATTTTGCTGGCAAAACAAGGTTATATCAATCATTTTGAAAATCAAGTGCTACACAAAGTACAGAAAGCAGCAGCGTCCCACACTGCCTTGCATCTCCCTCAAGCAGCCTCTGTGCTGGCCATCACAGCCTGTGCGATGCGGTTGATGGAGCTGAAAGTGGAGCTCTCTGGAAATGCCTGCATGAAGTCCTTGCCTTCTTCTATGCTAGCGGTGAGCTGGGGGTCCAGGGGCACACAACCTGCCAGAGGAAGCACATCATTCAGTACAATACACAAGCTCCCAAAGAATAACGTTAAATGAATAACACGAGTCTGTCAGACTGCTAAGTGGCATGACGTAACAATGTAGGCAGATGCATGCCGCACCAGCAGGTGGCGCTATGGTTGTACTGCTGAAAAATCATCAGCACTCTGTGAAACAAAAAATGCCACCACACACCATTACAACAAGTCAAAAATATATTATGAATAGTATTTAATGAATAATAAATATTATTTATTAAATACTAATCATAATATATTTTATTATTATTATTCAGAAAACATAACTAGTCTGATACTGTGGTGAAAGCCATATGATACATTATAATTAGTATTTTCCCTTCTGCACAATTACCCCAGTTAACCAATTTCTTTATTCTGCATACACAAAAGAACTTACGAGATGCTGTGTTACTCACATGTGAATAAGTCATGCACCATGTGAACGTTGTGCACAGACTAGCGGTACAAAAGCCATGTCATCTCACCATACACAATGACATGTTAATTAACAACATACTTTTTGTGTTATCACTACTGCAACATATGGTGCAATATCACCTTAAATGTGGGTTAAAATGAAAAAGAATCCGACCTTACAAATACTTACATACGTTTATTCACATTCTGTTCTTCTGAATGTGTGTGTGTGTATACATGGCATGGCAAAGAGGATCTAGGTGAGAGGCCAGACTGACGGAGATTCTAATAACCCTTATGGAATACCAGGAACCAGAACCCTCGCCTGCAACAGTGAATGCAGGGTCCCGCGCTAGAACCTGGCCTGAGGGGGAGCTCCTCAGCAAGCACGTGGTGGTTGGGCTGTCACCCATGGGTGCTGGAAGGGCAAAGCCCAAATAAGCCACGTGGGACTGCTCACCTGTGGGCCTACCACCTGCAAGAGGAGCTATAATGGTCCGGTGCATTGTTCAGGGTATCAGACCTTCTTGGAGGCCTTGAGTGGAGGTCAGGAAGGCACCTTCTCTAGGAATGCTGCTGTTCTACTGGAGGACATTTACGCTCATGTGGGTGACAGTTACTCTGCCCAACCTGAACCAGAGTAGTGCTATGTTATTGGTCTTCTGTGCTAACCACAGTTTGTTCATAATGAACAGCATGTTTGAACACAGGGGTGTTCATAAGTACACCTTGCACCAGAGAACGCTAGGCTGCAGCTTGACGCTTCATTTTGCAATTATATCACTAGATCTGTGACTGTATGTCTTGGACACCCAAGTGAAAAGAGGAGCCGATCTGTCAGCCAATTGGATCACATGGCAATGGAAAATGCCAGACACCTTAATAGATCCATCTATCCATTATCTGTTGCTTTTCTAGGGTCGGGTCACAGGCACAGCAGTCTAAGCAGGGATGCCCTGACCTGCCTCCCCACAGCCACCTCTTACAGCTCCTCCGGGGGATACCAAAGCGTTCCCAGGCCAGCCGAGAGAAATAATCACTACACAGTGTGTGTTGGGTCTGCCCATGGGCATCCTCCCAGTTGGACATGCCTGAAATGCCTCCCCAGGGAGGCACCTAGGAGGCATAGATGCCTAGACCACCTCAACTGGTTCTTTCAATGCGGAGAAGCAGTGGCTCTACTATCTGTAAAGCTGAGCACAGACACCCTGTGATGGAAACTAATTTCTGCCGCTTATATCCATGATCTCATTCTATCGGGCACTACCCAAAGTTCATGACCATAGGTCATTTCTGCAAAAAGCAAAAATGTGATCCTGAGGCCACCAAACCAGACCCCCTCTGCTCCTTGGCTAATGCTTAGAAATTCTTTCCATAAAATTAACAAAATTGATGATAAAGAGCAGCCCTATCGGAGTCCAACATACACTGGGAATAAATATGACTTACTGCTGGAAACTTGAACCAAACGTTGGGTCTGTTTATACAGCGACATGATGGCCTTGAATATCAGACCCTACCCTATAATCCTGAAGCACCTCCACATGATCCCCCAAGGAACATGATCATATGCCTTTTCCAAATCCACAAAACACAAGTAGACTGGTTGGGGAAATTCCCATGAACCATCCAAAACCCTTGTGTGGATGAACAGCTGGTCCAGTGTTCCAACAGACGGACCCTCCTCTGCAGTACCCCAGCATAGACCTTCCCAGGGAGGCTGAGGAGTGTGATCTGCCTTAAGTTGGAAAACATCCTCCAGTCCCCATTCTAGACTAGGACCTCCACCCCAGGCTGCTAGTCCAAAGGCACTGTCCCCAATGTGCAAGCAATTTTGAAGGATGTGTCAGCCAGGACAATCTCATCCACCCCCGGAGCCTTACCACCAAAGAGTTTGATGACTAGAGATGGGTAAGTTCCTCTCTGATTCTCCCAGCTCTACTTCCTCCAAGGAAGGCATATCAGTGAGATTCAGGAGATCCTTGAAATTTTTTTTCCACCACCTGACTATATTCCCATTCATAGTCAGCAATTCTCCATCTCTGCTGTAAACAGCATAGAAGAAATAAAGACCTGGTTCTCCCTCCTGCGTCATTTGATGGTTTGCCAGAATCTTTTCTAGGCTGACTGAAAGTTCTTCTCCCCGGCCTCACCAAACTCCTCCCACAACTGAGTTTTTGCTTCAACAACAGTCAAAGCTGCATTCCGCTTGGCCTGCAAATACCGGTCAGCAGCTTCAGGAGACCAACCAAACAACCAAGCTCAGAAGGCCTCGTTCTTCAGCCTTCCAGCTCCTTTTACCACTGCTGTCCACCACTGAGTTTGGGGATTGCCACTGTGACAGGCCCCAACAAATTTACAAGTCACAGCTCCACACAACCACCTCAGCAATAGAATCCTAGAATGTGGCCCATTCAGGCTCACAGTCCCCTGACATCCTTGGGACGCAAGAGAAGTTCTGCTGCAGGTGCAAGTTGAAGACCTCCTGGAAAGGGCCTCCGCTAGGTACTCCCAGTACATCCTCACAATGCATTTGGGTCTACCTAGTCTATCTGGCATATTTCCCTGCCAACTAATCCAACTCACAACCAGGAGGTGATCAGTTGACAGCTCAGTTCCTCTCGTCTCCCAAGCGTCCAAAACATGCAATGCAAATCAGATGATACAATTACAAAATCGATCATCGAGCTGTAGCCTAGGGTGCTCTGATGCCAGGTGCACTTATGAGCTCCCTTATGTTTGAAAATGGTGTTCATTATGGACAGGCTGTTCCCCTCTAAATCACACCCTTCCAGGTTTCACTGTCATTAACCACGTAAGCATTAATGTCCCCCAGCAGAACAATTAAGTCCCCAGAATGGGCGTCTTCCAACACCCCATGTCAGGTCTTCAAGAAGGCCGCATACTCGGAACTGGTGTTCGGCACATACTCACAAACAACAGTCAGAGCCCATCCCCCAACTCAAAGTCGAAGGGAGACAATCCTTTTGTTGACTGGGGTGAACTCCAACATACAGGCACCAAACCAAGCAGCTATTAGCAGGACCATACCTGACTGGCACCAAGAGCAACTCCAGAGTGGAACAGGGTCTAGCCCCTCTCCAGGAGTTTGGTTCCAGAGCCTGAACCGTGCATTGAGGCAAGCCCGATTATATCTAGTTGGCGTCCTCCTGTACCAGCTTAGACTCCTTTCCTACCAGAGAGGTTACATTCCATGTACCTAAAGCCAGATTTGGCAGCCCGCATTTAGTTCACCAAGGCCACTGCCGCTCAATCTACAATGCATCCAACCCTCTCACCCCCAGCTCTTCCTTCAAGTGGTGGGCTCACAGGAGAGCGGACCCATGTTCTCCTAGACCCAAACATATAATGCGTGTGTGCAGGGAATGTCTGGCTGAGGCCCATGTTTGGACGATCTTCAACTCACACCTCTGGTGGAACTGAGCTGTCTGGCCTTTCAAGTTTATTGTGGGACTCTAGATACTGGAATGCATTTAAACAAAATAGCATAACATCTTTGTGTTGCTTCTAACATATCTGGTTTTAGACTGCTCGATCATGAGTGAAGAGCAAAAAAACACATCCCTTGAAATGATCAGGAGGGGCACGGAGCTGAGGCAGATGCAGCAAGCCTCCAAGAAAAATTCAAAACTTATCACAAGTGATTTAACGTTCACTGACAAATAATACAGGCAATCAAAAACACTTTACTAACTTATTAACATATTTTTCAAATGAATGTTTAAAATCATAATATTTAAAATCACAACATTAATATCTGCCACTAAATTATGACTTTGATCCAGACTTCCAGTCTTTAACTACCAAACTGTACTCTAGAGAACAGCACTTTGCACTTAGGGTTAAGCCCAATTAACAATATTTGTTAAAACTGTAGAATAGTAAATCCAGCATTCAAAATATTAGTCAGTGCTGCCAAACTTACAGGTGCATAATACCCATTACATCACAGGCAGTTATTACACTGCCTTTAGTTTGGTGCAGCTGACAAACATTACAAACATTGATATTTATACTAGCCAAAAATACCAAACACGCATGGAAAGAAATTTTGAAAATATTAAGAATTAATTTCTATGCAATAGTTACCTAAAAATGGTGATCCAGTCAACTTTGCCAACTCTTCCCCGCCACCTTTTGAGAATATATTGCTGCATTCCTGAAAGAAAGTCAGCTTTTCAATATTAGACAAGACATAGATTATACTTCATGTCCCGAGTCAATATCAAAGATCAGAATTGGGGCCGATCCAGCCAGGTTTTTAATTGATCGGTTTCGGCTACCACAGCCCGATTCCAAGCCCCATGTATGTAATTTCCCGCATCTGCCTAATTTACGCGACTTGTGCAGGTTGTAAGGTTCCATCACACGCTACAATAAGCCTGAGGCACGTGGCTTGAAACTGCAAACTAATCGAGAGGCCAGCTGTGTGGAAATTCTTTAAAATGGAAACTAAAAACAGCCCAACAGTTACCAGCCATGTTTGCAACCCCATTCTTTGGTGGTGAGATAGCAACAGAGCGTCATTTAATACAACAAATCTAATTAGGCACTTGCAGAAACATCATAAGGAAGAATACTGCGAAACTGGGAGGCTTAGTTAGCCTGAGAAAGCACCGACGCCGACTGTATGCGTAAGTATATTATAATATTTATTAAAAGATCAGGTTGGGACTCGGAATCAGCAGACAAAAATATCGAATGGATCAGAATGGAGTACCAAAAAAGTGGATCAAGACATCCATAATGGTACACCAAGTTATTTTGGGTATAAGGCAGTGCTTTGAAATCTTGGTGACAAATTTGGTCGAGTGTCGGAGCAGGGCAAACATACCATGCTGATCACTCAGTAAATTTTATCGCTAAGATTACAGCAGAATAGCTCTGCTTTTGAAAATACCATCAAAATACCATACAGTATATACCATAGTATATTCTCTGGACTGTATAAAAAAATTAGATACTGTACCACCCAAGCAGAATATGTACTGTAAATATACTTTTTGCATCAGACATGTTCTGAACATTGAAGATGACGGTAAAAGCTCCTCTGTGCTCACTGTTGGCACCGATGTACTTACTGAACAATGTGGGCACACAAAGCCACTCATGTTCTCCACAATGCCCAGAATACGCAGGCCTATCTTCTTACAGAATGTGATCTCCCGTCGGACGTCACCTGTAGACACGGCCTGACAGACATACTGTAGCATCACCTCATTGGCCGCACACAGGATACGCGTTGAACAAAAGCACAAGTTCCACTACTTTTTAAAGATCAGAGGGCCAAATGCAGAAACATATAACAGTGACTAATATGACGGCCATATCCCTGACAGGCATATTTCACATACAAAAAGAGACTCTGACTGCATAGTTCAGACACCTTTAGCCCTGGTCCCCTTTCCTGAGAGACACACCTGCGGAGTAGTGACCAGAATGGCCCCGTCCACCTTGTGTTTGCGCAGGTTCTCCACCACTGCAAGGTGCTCATCGGAGGTGCCAGGCGGCGTATCCACCAGGAGGAAATCGAGCTCACCCCAGGCCACGTCTGACACAAACTGGCCAATTAAAGCTGTGCCACTCAAAGGTAACGTTGATTGCATGGACAGAAAAAAAAAAACAAAAAAAAACCAAATTAAAATCCGATCAAAGCTTGGGATTAAAAAAACTGCCAAAGTGAAGCTGACGAACTAAAGGGATGCTACTAGATTACATATAAATGGTTAACATAATAATCCATTAACAATGCAAACGGAAAGCAAAGCTGATTTCTCTAGTTGTCAGGCCACTCAAAACAAAATGTAAATTTTTATATAAATAATACTTACACAGCCATCTCTTGAATGCTTAATCGTCAGTAACATTTAATTCCCCAGGACATACAAGTTACATTTCCATTTGTCAACCATTTACAACGGCATTTAATGTTACAAGATTAATCCATTTCTGCTATATCCATCAGCTAATGATATACGTCGGTTGATTTCATGCCAGTGAGTTATCACCTGTTTTTTTGGGGCCTCTCCACACCACGGCCTCGTCGGGGCTCTCCAGCAGGAAGCCGATGGACATGAGGGCCAGGCTTTTCTGGGTGTCTGTGTAGACGGGCACCCAGCCCGCATCGCACTGGTGCACCACCTGCTGGTCAGCGCCGAGCATCCGGGGAATACTGGGGCCACACAGGTCCACATCCAGGATACCGACCTGCCGGGCGTTTATGGACCATGCGAAATGCAGCACAGTCACAAACCCACATACAGCAGCAAGAGCCCAGAGTAGAAAGTGAAATGATACCGATTTAATCGCAAATGTTAACCGAACTTAAAGCGGCACACACATACTGCTTGTAATAATTATCATCCAGGGAAAATACATTTACAATTTAAGTCTCACCGTTTTGCCTGCATGACGGAGTGCTAAGGCAAGCTCTGTGGTCAGGGTGCTTTTGCCCACCCCACCTTTTCCCGATAGCACCAACACCACATGCTGCACCTGCGATAAGTTCCCCTTCTCTAAAGATAGACAGATGGATTGCAAACATCAGGACATGACATAAGCGAATAACAATACGAATGAGAAATACAGTTAAGGAGTTAACGGTTCCCCTATCCCATGAATGCAGGTATATGCATTTGGAAACCTGTACCTGATTCTAGTTTTGAATGTCATGCTAATTATAGTGATGCTGTAAGACAGACACGTAAACCCAGACAGTTGCAGTGTAACTGGGCTGCAGACAGACACAGGTTTAGAGCAAAATTCTGCGTTAGTAAAGGGGCTTAAGTAAGATATTAGTCCGTCTAAGAAAGTTAAAACAACGAGTAACGAAAATGTTTAGGCCTAGACGTTTATGAGAAGTAACCAATTTCAAAAAGCAGCTCAAATTCCGAGGTTACGTTACATGAAAAAAATAACTTTCTATTCAGGATAGCAGTTTCCATAAAACACACACCAACTCATGATATGGCAGTTAACGTGTTTATATATGTGGTGAATATGAAACTAATGTTCTTTGAGAACTCGATTTAACATAATCACTCAATTTGCACATCGAAATAAACAAAAGCAACCTAATTATTAGCAAGGGATATCACGCGTTATGGTTTCTTGGAGTATTTATGGTGTGTTTACAACCGTAATTTTAAAGCTATTAGTTCACACAAATCGGTGACAAAAATAGCGCTTTAGCCTGCTTCTTTGCCATCTCCGAACTACATTTCCCCACTACCAAAACGACACGACGTAAATCTTTGGTATATTTCATCTTGAATCGCCATCATAATAAACAGACATCTTTTGTCTTTAAAAATAAAACTAGTTGTTAATCTAATTTCGCGCTCTTAATACAACTGCAAAAGCGTACGCAATGCGTTTCACATTTGTGAATTTCGCGCAACTTGCTATCTGCTACTGCCCCCTCTTCATTAGCAGAAACAACACTTTGTTATCGTCATTTTTCTGAACTTGAGGATCTAATGGAAATTGTGACATACCACCACTGTGATCCATATTAACGATCTATTTTTTCCGGTTAAACCATCCACGTGCCCCTCAACTAGCGAAACTGTTTCCTAACCGGCGACGGGAACTACTGCTGTAACCACGCCTACTTCCGGGATCACGTGATGTTTGGGGCGAGGGCAGCACGTCACCGCAAGACACTCCGCATGCGCCATTAGTTAATATCAGAGTAGTAGGCAGAAGAGCCCCCTTAACTCTTGGTCATCATAAATAAGGTAAAGCATGTTTGCAGAAATGTCCTAGATTACGATAAATAGCCATTAATACATATGGCTGGATCCGCTCCAATATAGTTAGAAAAATCGGTGTCAAAGATCAAGTAAGACAATGTACATAAGGAAATGTGGTATAAGACTAGCTAATCCTATTTTCCCCTGACGGACGTATTTTACTGTGATTAGCCTGAGTGACACGATGAACCCTTCTGGTTATCACATTCTGCAGGACTCCGTCGTTTAATATAATCAGTATAATCATAAATAATTTAATAACAATGTATAACACCTCTTTATAGTAACTGCCTCTTGTCACCGTAGAAAAAAAATGTTTTCAACAGTCAGTGGATTCAATTCTAATGATACATCATGAAAAATAAATGTAGCTACCAATTAGATGAAAAGCAATTAAATTGGCTGAAAACGCAAAAGGAGCAATGGTGAATTCATCGTTTTAGTCAGATTACGTATTATATCTAATACTTTATCGTCTGCTCAACAAGTTTGCTCCGTGTAACCCGGGAGCTCATTACCAGCGAATCGCGGATCAATGATGCGGAGAGCCGCATGGACTGGAGGTGCGGCTCCGGCTGCAGCGTCGTCAGTTAGCTGCCAGCCAACCAGTCAGTGCTGCCAGATGCCATTTCCTATCATTTATTCACAAGCCAGTCGCCGCTGAGGGGTTTGCATCGGGAGCAGCGAAGGGCGAAGAACATGCGGATTTCTCTAAAAACGGGTGTTTGCGAGTGAGGCGCAAACTCCACCCTTTTAAAGGCGGCGGCGGCCCAATCGGCGCCGGATCGCGGGCGGTGCATGGAGGTGTATTGTTTACGTCTGTCGGGAAAGTAGGTCAGCGGGTGTGTGGCGGTGTGCGCCGTCGGCATGTCAAACGGGTCTCTCAAAACAAACCCGCAAGGAGACGTTTGAACTGGACCTGCGGGGCGGGGGAATCATCGCCGCCCGAGTGGAGGACGACCGAGCTGCTGTTATTTTCAGGTAGCTGCTGGTTGGAGGGTTGCATGTGATCGAGGCTAGCTAGTCATAGCAGGCAGCAGTTGCAGGTCGGTATATCCGCCGCGTCCCATTGCTCTGCAGATAGATACTAAACGTTAGCGCGCTTTTGCACCGCGATGTGTTCGCGACACGCCTGTGGTTTATAAGTTGGCCCGATCTGGGGTGGCATTAAAAACGACACACGCAGGCTGCTTCACTCTGTATCGCAGCGGGCCTGTTTTGTGGACAAAGAATTGCATCGGTGCAAAAAAAAATAAAAAATTGACGAAGGCCGTCCAGCTTCAGCCCTGTTAGCTTGGGCGCCGCTCACACCGGCCGATACCGGAGCATTTCCCTTATAAGACACATTGGCCGGCTTCCAGCCCCTAGTCCGCGGACACGGATTTCCCGGGGTCCATCACGCACGTATCGATGCATTAACTTCTAGTCTGGGGTCACTTCTGCGTGGCGTGTTTAAGAGATGGTAATGGTGAGATTCACTATTTCGTCCGTCAAGCCTATTGCCATTAATAATAAAAGAGATCCTATTGACATTTGAAAACAGCTAGCAGTCATGTCGGCTTGCAGGTATAACTGGATTGATTTCTTGTGTAAATGCGTGTTGGGCGGTACGGGGTAATTTTACGTAGATTTCATGGGGGCACAGATACCTGGAACGAACTTGTGTGATTGCAGCGTGCCGTTTATGCAGATCCAAGTCGTCCACTACTGTATTGGTATGTGTGTGTGTGTGTGTGTGTGTGTGTGTGTGTGTGTGTATGTGTATATATATAAAATATTACATACACTCTAGCACAGTTGAATGACACCATTACCCTCGCTGAACAGGTTCACGCTGTCCTAGTCACACTCAGACATGTCAGTGCACGATACTGCTCCACACCTGGTTTAATTACACCTCTGACTCAAGGACACTCTTATTCCAAATAATATACCAGGGTTTCAGCAACAGGAGCCACATATGAAAGTCGGTTGTGACATTTGCATTTTCCAACAGGTGTGTAATTACTTCAAACTAGTAATATCATTTTCACACCACAAATTTTGAGGAGCTATAGCATTCAACAAAGATGAAACCAATATTTTAAGTGTCATTTAGTAACTGTGCAGTAGAAAAAGAGAGCTTGAGGTTACATCTGCCTGCCTTCCTATTTTGGAGCTCAGACTGAGACTGTGACGTGTGGGCATCCCTCTATCGCGAGAATTACACAGTGAGATGGGAAGCGATGGTCAAAGAAAGGATCTGATGAAAGGCAGCTTTGGCAGACATTTGGGCAGAATTGTAGGTGAGTCCAGATGGGTGTGTGAGCCTCTGCTGGCCTGCTGCAGATGCAGACGGTAGCTTTCGGCACGTATGGCCTGGGAGGCCGTAAGTAGGTCCCAGCCATGCGGCTCGGTTTGTCTGCAGCTATAAATACAGAGGAGTGAGACTGGCAGCAACGGGGCAGATGGCGCTGCGGAGCGATGCTCGCACGCGCGGCTCACCCCGAGGTCCTTCGCTTCCAGCATGTTCCGTAGATTTAGGGTGGTGTCCGCATCCAGTCAGCCTCGAGCTTAGGTAATGCTTTGTTGTGTAGAGCTGGGTGTGCAGGATACGTGCCCGGATTAGAGTGCCCTCCTCCGGTGGCGTGGGCTCCGGCCCGGATGTGTTCCTCTGCCCACCGGGCTCCCGCCGTGTCCCCTTCTAGGCCGTGAGCTCTACCTGCCATGTCGAGGCGGAATAGGAGCGGCCGAGCGTGGCGGTACGTGTGGAGCGGCATCTGGAGGGACGTGGACGCCAGGGCGATGGTGCTGGCCTCCGAGAGCGAGGACTGGGGCTACGAGCGGCTGCAGGTGAGACCGGCGCTGCGCAGTCATCCGGCACGCCGTCACGGCGAGTCACTACAGGTTTGCTGCATTTTTTTCTTTTCTTTTGGTTATCCCGGGGGGGGGGGTGAGGCATGATCCCTGCACCTGGGTGTAAGGCTCAATCCCTGCACCTGGGTGTAAGGCTCACACTGCCTGGGGCCTTCAGTGATCACATGATCGGTGTGCTCATCAGAAAAACAACACAGAAGAGGAAAACATGTAGATAGGAGAACTGGGTCACTATGAACGGCACTGGGACAGGCACTGGAATTGTATTTGAGGGGTAAGACAGATTTGGATTGCTCCCAAGCAACCAAGCGTGATCCCAGTGACCTTTGTGTCGTCGATAAAAAAGAATTCCCCACGTGCAGACGGCATTAGATTTCTCAAAGACGTTCCTGACTGGTGCCTCACTATATACATAGTACCTCGGTTATGCAAGAGCTCACTATGTTTCTGTAATTCCGGCCACTAAACATTATCTGCTAGTTGCACAGACATAAACAGTAAACCCAAGTCCATATCGTTTGCTGTGTTGGCGGCTATATCTCATTGCCGGTGGTCATGGAAGCCTAGAGCGTTTGTTTGGTTGCCTAGGTTCTGATTCTGAGGCAGGTCCTTTGGAGCATCTGACCAAAATAATGGGGTTTGTGGAATTCCCCGCTCTCACAAAGAGGTTTTTTTATATCGAGGGAGGTCAGAAGTGGAGAAGTTTGTTTGTCGGATGTCCCGCTGTGCTGTTTGCCCTGCGGGTCTCTGCTTGGGTCAGGCGTGTGGAGGCATTTTGACGGGGGGGCCCTCCCACAGGACGCTGCTGCCTGGCTGCGGACGGAGCAGACCTGTTACTCGATCTGCTCCGGCGTGAGGTTGTATTTTTGGTGACGCGCTGTTTTTAGAAGCCGGACGCCACATTCTGTACACATGGCTTACCAATAGGAGACGTCAGTGTGTGTGCATGTGTGTGTTTTATTGAGCGGGTGAGATTGCTGGTGACAGGTCAAGCCCAGCCTGCTGGGGAAAGGGGCTGTGCACATGGCTAAGGCTGGTTATCAGACAGGAAAGACAAGTCGGGAAGGAGCTGTTTTTGGTGCCTCTTGAGTCAGGAGCGATTTTGAGAAAGGGGCGATCAGCTAGCAGTGAGCTGTGTTCGGGTCTTACTCTGCAAAGTAGCACCAGCCAGCCTTCTGACACCGAAACATGTCTGTTGACGCCAGACCCAGTCGGTGCCCCTTCTGTGTCCACCAGTACAGCGACTCGGATTCGGAGCTGGAGTTCTCGGGCGCCGCCCCAGCTGTCCCCAGTGCGGTACCTGTGACAGGCGAGTCCTACTGCAGCTGCGAGTCCCAGGCAGAGCCCAGCTGCGCCTCCCGGCTGCGGGGGTTCCACCACACCGATGACTGCCACTGCGGGGAGGACGACCAGCGTGAGTATCTGCGGTTTCCCGTGTGGGGACGCGTCGATATGGAGTCGCAGTGTTTCACTGTCCCCCGCAGGCTATTTCAGGAAGGCGGTCTGCCTTGACATTAGCTGCTCTGCCGGGTGACATTGAGATAATGGACGAGCGTCATGTTTTGGTCTTGAGACAGAACGAGCGAAGGAGCAAAAAGAAATGGAAGAAATTCTGTTTTTCTTACATGAGGAGACCCTCTGTGGTCAGCCATTTTTAATGCGCTAGTTAATTCAGCCTTTGTTAGGATGTATGTCTGTGGTCTTCATTTATTCCCAGAAGGCAAGTGCAGCTTGGCAAAAATGAGCTATTTCTCTGACAGATATTATTAGGTCCGGTGAGGCGTGGCTGAGGAGTGGGAATATGGCCGGGGGGGGGGGGGGGGGCGCACCGAGGGCTCGGTATGTTGGATAGTGCCGTCCCGCCCAGCTCGGTTCCCGGCCGTGACGGTGGTGCTGTGTTCTGTGCCCAGACTTCGACTGGGTGTGGGACGACAGCAGCAAGTCGACGGCGACGCTGTTGAGCTGCGAGAACCGCGTGGTGAACTTCCACATGGAGTACAGCTGTGGCACGGCGGCCATCCGGGGCACCAAGGAGCTGGCCGACGGGCAGCACTTCTGGGAGATCAAGATGACCTCCCCGGTGTACGGCACCGACATGGTGGGTGCCGTGGCTTTTTAGCAGCTCTCTTGCCATAGTTATGCCCCCATCCCCACACTAACGGGGGCCGTGCTTTTGGTAGATGGTAGGCATCGGGACCTCGGATGTGAACCTGGACAAGTACAGACACACCTTCTGCAGTCTTCTGGGGAAGGACGAGGACAGCTGGGGTCTGTCCTACACAGGTGGGTTCTAGGGAGCTCTGGGGTAGGGATGGGCGGGGGGGGGGTCCTTCCCTATTGTTAACTTGCCATCGCCCCCTGCAGGTCTGCTGCACCACAAAGGCGACAAGATCAACTTCTCGTCACGATTCGGCCAAGGCTCCATCATCGGTGTGCATCTGGACACCTGGCATGGCACGCTTACCTTCTTCAAGAACCGAAAATGCATAGGTGAGGGAGGGGGGCGCTTCCTGCGGGGGGGTGGTGTTCTGGGTTTTTCCATCTAAAGGCTTCATAAACATCACGACACGGTACATGAGTGCAGCAGCCTAATACCTGCGCAGCACTAAACGTACAATGGTCATTGCTACACAATGCTGGTATCATTTATACATATTGCTGAGTGCACTGTATATTGTAAACAGAGAATGCAGAGATGTTTCCTGCACATTTAGCTTCTGTTACTGTTGATTTCAGAAGTGTAAACAAGCCTCTTCCTCATCTCACCTCCCCGGTTCCTCATTTCTACTTTCTGCTCCCTGGCCCCTCCTTCCTGGCCTCTGGCCCCTCCTTCCTGGCCACTGGCCCCACCCCCTGGCCCTTCCCCCGCAGGCGTGGCTGCCACACGGCTCCAGAATAAGAAGTTCTACCCGATGGTTTGCTCGACGGCAGCCAAGAGCAGCATGAAGGTGATCCGCTCCTGCTTCGCCCCCACCTCCCTGCAGTACCTGTGCTGTGCTCGGCTGCGTCAGCTGCTGCCTGACTGCGCAGACACGCTGAGCGTGCTGCCCCTGCCTCCGGGCCTGCGGCAACTGCTGCACAACAAGTTGGGCTGGGTGCTGAGGCTGAACGACGGCGCGGCAGACGGCCCTGAGCACTCGGCCGACTCCCCGACCCCCTCGGCCTCCTGTGCCTCCTCGGGGAGCGACTCGGACGGCTTCTCTTCGGACCCGGAGGCCTGCCAGAGGAAGCGATGCCGCTGGACGTGAGTGCTTCTGTGCCCTGCCCCCCACCCCCCAGAGAGAAGGGCCACATGGCGTCAGCAGGACGTCAGACTGGAACAAACACAGCTGGTTTCTGGAGCTGGTCTTGGACAACCTGCCTCTGTACTTTTTTCCATGGTCCATTTTCTTTTCATTGATCTCACAATGGAGATGCAAAGTCCACCCCCACCCCCCACCCCCCCTGTTTTCCATTACTGTCCCTGAGGGATAAAAATTGCGTCTTACCCTCCCGCCCCCTTGGTCTGGTTAGGGCTTGCAGCTGGCCAATCGGATAGTCCGTGATGGACGTGCGTGACATCCATGTATTCAACATAGTGGCAACCAAATCAGATCCAGTACAGGTTCAGCTTGAAAGATGAAAGCACCTATTCGCAGTGTGTACACCACACCGCAGGTGCATATGACAGACCCGTATGTGCATTTAAACCTGTACAGTATTTTTCCGATGCTCTTCACTCCCACATGGGCTTGCAGGCCGCTTTCTGTCTGCACTACGATTCCTGGCTGTGATGGCCCACGCAGATAAGGACCGACCCACAGCACAGACTGTCTTTGAACCGCAGGGTTGGTTGGAGGGTGGGCTGCAGGATGGAGAACATTCGGTGCAGAGGAGGAACACGCAGACTCTCTTAATCCTAACCCCCGGTCGCGTCTAAAGCCAAGCGGTAAGGATGCGTGACTGTGGCACTAATCTGTGAGCCGGACTCTGCAGCACGGACTGGTGAGGCGCAGCAACGTGCCGGAAGGTGCCCTGACCTGCCGGGTCTGTTCCTTCAGGACAGAGCAGTATCGACTCCTAACCTCACTGAGAAGGGGGGTGAGGGGTCTACCGTCTTTAGCAGCTTTGGTGACTTTTGTGTGAACTGCCCTGCCCTGTAATATGCAAAGCCGCCGTATCGTTAATCTGTACAGTACCGTCGGTGTGAGACCTTCTCTGTAACGTCAGCTCAGATACCAGTGGACCAGTGTGTTGAACCTTACATTTGCTTTTTTTCCCCCACTGAGTGATGTGGGTTGCAGTATAGCACTCTTATTTAATTAGGTGCACTCTCGTTAGAAGTTGTATACCGTCTGCGTCAATGTGACCATCCATCCTACAGACACATGGTCTTATTGGGCTGAATGGAGAGGGGAGGTGACTGATCTAATGGTGAGAATTCCTCAGACAGCTCCTCCTTCAGACTGACGGTTCGAGTTCACAGCTGGAAACAAGCTGCTTAGTTTGACCTCAGCTAGTTGGCACCTGCATTTTTACATATATGCGCGCACACACATATATATATATATATATATATGTGTGTGTGTGTGTGTGTGTATATAAAGTGTTTTTATATACATATAAAAGTCTCTGGTTTTCCTTTAGTTTTGAATCAGGAACCATGATAGCTTTCTTTTATATTTTACACAGAAATAGTACACAGTAAAATGCCTGCCCTACTTTGACTTGGGCAAACCTTTTCTCTTGAATCCATCAATGAGACCATGCATTTCCCTTTATATTATCTGTCTGGGATCTTTTACAGATAAGGAGCAGTAATACCTTTTAACTACAGCTAGAATGCTTATTGGTCTCTATAGATTTATGGCACCTGTGCTATGGGATGTCACTAAACCATTGCTGTTTATTCTCTGTCAGCCATATTGGATCATCTTGTCTATTAAGTAGACCCCAAAATGTAACATGCCATACTTTTGTCATTGACTTTGTGGCCAACAGATCCAAGAGAACTGGATTCATTATTAGGAAATTATTGTTCCCTTCCCACTCCAACATAAATTTAAAAGCCTGCACACCTTTTGGGCCTTGGGTATATGCTACTCTGCAGCGTCTGGGGGTTAATATAACCTGGGCTTTGGGGTTTAAAATAGGGGGCCGGTGGCATCTCTAAGGCACGAGTCCCTTCCTGGAATAGAGGTTGCATTATGATGTCATAGAGGACACAGGCTGGGGGGATGAAGGAGGGGCTGGGTGTAGAGTGTCACTTAGCCAGAGTTGTTTTACCATAATATCCAGCTGTACAAATGGATCAGTGTCAGTCATTTCGCACAGATAAGTGTAAATTTTGTAAATCACATGCAATCTGCATTTTTACTGCTTCTCTGAAGGGTAAAGTTTGAGATGTAGACTTAAATGAATCTTATCCACTGTATTATTCTTGGGGAGCAGAGGAATGGGAACTGGCTGTGGGATTATGTCTTATCAGATATATAAACGGTTAAAAAGAACTTGTTATGCATTAAAGCACTTTGGTGTATACCATGTACATATTCTATGTGACTGATTTCCTACTCTCCTGCCATGACATGTACCTAATAGCATGGTTTTATTTAAAAATGAACTGTAAAAAAATGTAACAGCTTAATTTTTTTAAAATAAAATCTAAGAGTAATTCTGTTGCATTTTTCCTAAGTTCTCCCCATATCCAACTTGCTGGGCTAATTGCTCCTAGTTGCTGTACCATACGAAGGGAACAGGAACCCTAAAATCATCTCAGTGCATCTTTATTGTACATTATTCTTGTCTAGAAGAAGCCCGTCGGACAGTTATTGACATTTCTTCACAAAAACAAGCATGGTGCTCCTTCCTGTGGTAATAGGCCTGGTACGAGTGGTTCTAATCGAGCCCAAAAAGTGACTTGTCGGTCATTTCTGGAATACAGCCAGTCTGGTTAAATTACAGAGGTAGACGTTGAGACCAGGCTGGGAATACCCTTCAGGTGACCCCCTCAGTCCAGCACGAGCTGGGGATTGTGGGCCGTGAGGAAGCGGCACACCCTGCTGGAGATGTCAGGACCCACCCGACGCTGCCTCTCCCCACTAGTGACTGAGAGGTCTGCCAGGATGTTCTTCTGGTCCCCCTCGGAGGCGGAGTCCTTGTATGCCTGTGACACGAACGTCAATAATTATCCTAGAAGCACTGCAGAGGATTTAAAGAACATTATATAGGAATTTACAAAGGAAAGAATAAAAGTTTTCCAAATGCATCTATGCACCATGAGGCCAAGCCAGCGGTACCTGTAGCAGCAGCTGCGGCGATGGAAATGCAGAGGAAATGGCTGCAGCAACAGCGGGACTGACACGATTCAGCTGCTGAATTTGCCTGCTCCATACCGGCAAAAGTCCTGTCCCGTCCTTCTGGACCCGAACCCCGCTGGCCCACGAGCCATCCACACAGAATGGCAGGTCGGGGGTCTCTGTCAGCAGTCTGGGGTACAGACAGAAGGTCAAAGCTCCTTAGGGCGACCTAAAGAAAGGGACAGATTCTGTTTTCCGCCCAGTAATCAGGATTATATTCCGGCTTACTTCATGGGACGTTTGGACAGGGCCTTGGTGACGGCACACGCGTGGTCGGCGAGGTCCTGCCAGCTCTCCAAGAAGATGACAGAGGTGTTCCTAGAGAGCTGCAGGAACACCAATGCCTACAGCAATGGAGACCGCAGCATACTCATCAATGTTCAGCTCTACACCAACTACAACCACACTTAGTATCTGTCTGACAGTGAATCACAGAAGTGCCAACATAATTACCTCCTCTAAGTCCAAGTCTCTCAGCCCCCCACTCCTCTTCTCTTCCCAGAGAGCCCTGACAACAGACACGTATAACACAAAATTACGCTAAGCATTCAGTAATGTTAAATGGTCATACTTTGATATACAGCAATTACATACCAGCTGCTTAAGCCAATCACTGCCAGGGTAACAATTTTCCCTGCATATGTGTTGAGATACTGAGAGAGTTTGTTGAATAAGGACTTGCACTCTACTTGCTTGATGTTCTCTTGCTGAATCTGTAACAAGGTTCCAATATGGGAGACCACAGGATAATGTTTTAATGTTCAAAAATACTAAATATAAACAAAAAAGCACAGAACGGTTTGGAAGCCCAACCTCCTTGATAGAGCTCAACATGTCCATGAATTCATTCAGCTGCAACACCATCAGAATCTGCTCCTCCTGAATTATGCTCAGACCATCTTCACCCTACAAATGGAAAGATTCAGACAGAACTTCTTGCTGGGTTTATCATTAAAGGCACAATTTTTATTGTGTAATCCAATTAGCATTTATTATTTCAAAATGATAGTCCATGATAAACCTTCTGATTGCTGGCCTGTTACTGATCTGCCCTATTTTGCTGCATGGCCCTTTCAGGATTTGTGATAGAGCATTTTCAAAGTTCACTGAACATCAGCATTTTGGCTTTGAACTTATTTACATAAATACTACCAGCTTACATGCATTATCAAGATTTAAAGGGGGCACAAGATCTCAAGTATTGTTACCTCTGGCAATTCCCTATTCCAAGTGATGCTATGTGCAAGCTGTTGTTCCTCAATGCTGCTCCTCCACTCCATTGCTCTCAGAGTCCCAAGAAGAGTGTCTGACCCCTCATCTTGCAATAATACTGCATAAGAAATACTTAGGACCATGAAAGGTATTTGCACAAAGCATTGGTTTTGCAAAAAGATCTTTTAAGTGCACGGCTCGCTTATTTTCTGGTTTCAGTGCTTAGGGGGGTGGCATGCATGTTACTATTTAGCAATTCTGTCCTCGCCGGTCACTAACCTGGGTCTACGCATACAGTCATGCGTTTGAGGCAGTTCTCCGGTCGGTAACTTTTAAAGCGATCGGCAGCTTCTTTTCGTCGCTTCTGTTCCAACTTTTTCGTTTCTTTCTGTTTGACTCTTTCCTCCCTGAGTTTCTCTCTGGCTTCTTTTTTCTGTTCAGAAATGAGTCTTTCCCCCTCGATCTGCTTCTTGGCTCGGCGCCGTCTTTTCTCCGGACTCGAGGTTCCGGTGGCAGCGGCCGGGGGAGCCGATAAGGACTCTCCGCATCTGGGGTCTTCTTTATCAGCATCTACAGATGCCTGGGAAGTCTCCAAGCGGACATCTTTCTGGTCAGTGTCCTTCTCACTGGCAAATTGTAAACTGGATGCTATATCATCTTTACGGGTAGCGTCACATGTGATGAGGGATCTAATGTTGAAATCACTTTCGTCTTCTGACTCAGATATTTCCCATGTTTTTGCTCTTTTGAGACGTGACATATTACTATTACCAGAAATCTCAAATGCATAATTGTTTTGAGTTTCGGTTACACTGCAGTAACGTTAAATCAAAGGATTATCATGTCTATCTGATATCCATGGATTCGTATAAATATTTAATTATCTTACAATTGAAATGCAAATTCCCCAGTCCTGATCCTGTAAATTTTAACGTCTGGTTGTCAATGACCAAATATATGTGGCTATTAAAAACGCACCGCTTGCTATAACCATTAGCTGCAGAGTTTCCAACCAAAACATCCAATAAAAATGTTAATTTTTGAGAAATGGTCGGTAATTATGCCGAGTCAAACTTTAAATAAAGAGTTTGCACTACACACGAAACTACCTAAACTATGTATATGTAATAACGCTCTTGAACTTCGTATCATCTAGTCAGTCATTGTTCGCAGAATCCAGAACTAAAAGAACACGGTAAATCAAGCCACACGGAAGGAATATCACACGGGGCACGACGGGAAGTTCTTATTTCTTGGCAAAAAAAAAATTGCAGAAACATTTTTATTTAATAATAATATGGAATATTATTAACCTCTCCTCCATTCTGCATGGGATCTTCTTCTTTGTTGCTTGATGGC